CCCCATTAAATAGTAATTCTCCATATCCCAGTTTCCCCTACCTTTTTCTTTTTGTCTCTGAAACTGAATACTCCATGTACCTGATATAAGGGCAAATGCAGTATTTGTACTCTCGTGTGGGACTTGTTTACTTAGTAGAATATCTTTAAAGTTAATCTGTGACATAGAAAGTGTCAGAATTTTATTTCTTTTTAAAGATAAATAATAGTCCATTGTATACATATACTACATCTCATTTATCCATTCAGCCGATAATGGGACTTTAACATGTTTCTGCATTTTGGATGTTGTAAATGCTGCTATAAAATTTAGTATGAAACTATCTGCTCATGTTGTATAGACAATTATTTCAAATCTATATTTGATCTCTTAAAAGTCAGGAGACTTCTATGTCAGTTAACAAAGAAGATAACAAACTAGTCATAAATCCTTGCTTACTCTGGAGTGTTTACAAATGTGGCAATTGAGAGACTTAGGTTTTAAAGATCCTTCAGAAACATGAAGTAATAGAATCTTAGGAACAGGGAAGATGTAAGGTTGGAACTGAGAATCTCCAGTTCTTTAACCCTCCGCCTACACAAATACACATACAAAGTCAAATACAATTCCAGGAGAATAAATTTATGTTAAAAACTCAATTAATAGATTAAAGGATAAATTAGCAGCAAATGAAGACTAAATGAACAAGAAAGAAAAAGCTAGAGAAGTTAGCACAAATTCAACTAAAATATAGAGAATTTAAAAGAAAAGTTAAGCTTTTCTGGAAAAGATGAGAAAGTTTTAAAATGCTTAAAACATAAATGCAAATTAAAGGCAATTCAGTCTAGAAAAAATGATTTACTAACAGGTCATTGTGGATGGAAACTCTGAAGCATCCACTTGAGAACAAGGGGATTCAGAAGGGAAGGTTGAGAGGTAAGAAAGTGAGACTAATAAAGCATCTGGCAAACCTCTAAGTCATGTAAATTATACTGACTGATTCAACCTAAAAATACTCACAAATAACCAGGAAGAAGCAAGAAAATTGATTTGATTGTCATGATGGCCAGAAAACAAATAAATATTGTTTAAGGGGATACACTAAAATAAAGATGCAGAAAAGCTAAAGTTATAAGAATGGAAAAATATATGCCAAGTAAGTAACAGCCAGAATCAAGTATATGCATCTGCACTACTTTCAGACATACTACACTTTTGGCAAAAATCATTACTCAGTATAGTCAATGTATGATAAAAGCTACAATAAACTTATGATTTGAAATGATAAAACAATTTTATAATAGTTAGCTTTATTTGCTATCTTAAAAGATGTGAAGAAATGCATTAGTAAAGCTGTGAAAAAATTGATACAAGCAACATCATAGTGGGGGAATTTAACCATCTCTCTCCTTAATTGATGGATTAAGCAGAAGATAATTATAAGACTATAGAAGATTTGAATAGCATAATTAGTAAACTTGACCTTTGCTCCCAACGACAAAGAAAATATAGTTTTAGCTAGCAAATTATTGATCACACATTAATCTCAGCAAATTTCTAATCATTTCTATGATATAGAACTTGTATGATCAACATGATTATATTGTAATTTAAAAGCAAAATAAAAACATACTTTGGTGTAGGAAAAATACTTAGAATAGGGTCATGAATGACTTACAAGTTGCTAAGTATCTAAATAAAATATCAGCAAGGTTAATATAGCACTGTAAGTGTTAAAATGAACATCATGCCCAAGTTACTTTGGATACAAGCGTATTTACCATTAGAAAATCTATTTATGTAATTTACCACAATAAACATTTTGAATAAAGACTATATGCTTACATTAACAGGCAAATAAGTTACTTCCAAATATTATTAAAAATTTGGAATCTAATGGAATTTTGATCCTAATAATATCTAAATCAAACTTATAATTAACAGGAAATGTTAGTTATTGTCCCTGGATACCTACTGTGACTGTAGTATTCGAAATTCTGGCCAGTAAAGTAAGACAAATTATAGATATTAAGACTGAGAAAAACAAATATGTCATTATTCAAGATTAAAAATTTCTACAAATTAAAAAAAGTACCAATAAATTTTTAGAATTATCAAAAGACTGCAGCAGAAATAACTTTTATACATAAGCAATATAAATTTTAGAATTTTGACATTTAAAGAGAGAGCATTTACAATTAGCAATGAAAGTCTCAAGGAATACAGTCTAAATACACATGGAACTTCACTAGAAATGATAATAGGTATAATTCTATATTATATACAGACACTTTCAAATGCTTTGATATACATTAATTAATGCAGTTACCATGACAATCAAATGAGGTAGGCAATATTACCACCCTAACTTAAAAATCAGGAAACAGACACACAGAAAGGGTAAATAACTTTCCTTTTATTCTAAAGCTTGTGGGTAGTGTTCTAGGTCTCAAATCAGAAAGTTCTCTCCACAGTTTTTGCACTTAAACTTTAGACAGTACAACATTTTGAATATGATATTTAGATACGTTTTATAGTTGCACTGGTAAAGAACTGGATAGAGGGAAATAAAATAAAGACACAGAGATCAGTGGATTAGATAATAGAATCCAGGTCCAGAAAGAGATTCAAATATATTCTGGAATAAACAAATCGAACTTATATTATTTTTAATCAATGGTACTTTCCTATTTGATCATAGAGCTTGTTGGGAAAAACCATTTATATTATACAATATCATATATCAAATAAATTCAAAAGAGATTTTAAAATAAAACTTAAAAATAATTAAAAGGGCCTCCCAGGTGGCGCAGCAGGTTGAGCACGGCGCTATGAAGCTGTCCGTGGCCTTTACAGTGCCGGTTCAATCCCAGTCAGTCGGTGAAGGTCCCACATGGTGCAGCAGACCGGTCCTGCGTCGCCCGCTGCTCCCCTCAGCAGTGTATTTCATCAGTCTGCCTGTTCTGTTCCCCGCTGTGTCTCTGGTGAATCCTCTCATCCTCTCACGACTCTGGCCTGTACCCCAGCTATTGCATAAAATAAAAAAAAATAAAAAAAAAAATCTTTAAAAATAATAATTAAAAGGATTATTAGCATTATATTTGTGAAAATATGCGGCTAGGGACCTTCCTAAATAAGTCTAAAATATTAAGCTATATACTTAGAGATGGAAGAAAAATAACCACAAAAATAATTTTAGGAGACATTAAAATAATAATGAAACATATACATACATTAACCCTAATACTCAAAAACTTCCCACAAACGAATAAGGAGGAGATATACTACCCAATAGAGCACTGAAAGAAAGATGTGAATCAGCAGTTAGGAAAAGAAATTAAAATGTTTAATAAACTTGAAAAAAATCTCAGTCTTATATTTAGGGAAATATATAGGAAAGCAAAATAGGACATTTTCCACTGTCAAACTGTCAGAAAAAAAGAATAAGTTCTGATGAGGACAAGAAGTGGGAAAATCTATTATACATTGCTAAGGAAAGACTGTAAATTATCTCTAAGTAAGATATACAAAAGTAACTGCAACATTCATTAAAGTAAAAAAGTAATATAATGATTTTTGATTCAGAAATGCTACTTTTAATGACATTTCCTAAAAGTACAAGGGCCCGTATGTAAGCATATGTGTGTAAGAATGTAACAGCCTTGTCTGTAGGGTCGAATCTTGAAAAATAAATCTTGACTGATTTTGAATTGGTAATTGTTAAAATATTTGCTAAATCTCTACTATGCAGCATTATCTTACAACAATTAACTCTCAGTAATATCTATAAATAGCTTTTAATTAAATACATTGTTTAATGCATTTAGAAGCCTTTGTGGTGGGAAGGACAAAGGAAGATCTATACAGCATAATGGATGAGAGGAGTACACAGAAGCAAAGTGAATGTCTGAGATCATAGCGATTTTCATATTCTAGGATCCCTTTTCTCATTCAGCCCCTGACAATGGGGTTTTCATTCAAACACCTAAACATCTGTAATGTCCTAATTTTAAAATTAAATATCCTAATTTAAAAATTAAAATAAAAAATGTTGATGGGGGTGATGAACTTGCTAAGCTACATACATTGTAGTGCTTATATATAATGTTATTACTTTTATTATGACTTATTTTTTTTTCCTCTTGGTCTTTAAAGAGGGACAGATTCATGGAAGGCAGACAGAAAAAAACAAAAATGAAAGCAGGATCCAGGAAGAGAAAATGGTTTGGACAAGGATTTTGATTTGTAAAACAAAACATATTTAAGTTAAACTCCTGTGAAAAGTCTATATTTAGGATAGAAGGCAGTAAATATGTAAATGAATCAGGAACTGTTGAGTGAGATGCTGAGGCTTGTTTTTCATTTTTGTTATAGTTACTAGAAAATATTAACCTACAAAATGGTGTACTTGAATGTAGGGATAGAAACATGATGATGGAAAATATAGTATTTTTTACTATGCTTTTATGTCTTGACCACCTCTCTTGCCAGAAAATGTATAAATGTTTTATGATAGCCTGCTTTTAGCTGTGCATTTGTTTTATATTTTGTGTGTAGCTGGCTGCAGAAAAAGCATAATCTGTGTCCTTAATGCCAAGTCATAGGTAAATTTAAACCCTGTTTACTGACCTGAAGCTAAAAATTGACCTTATGGGATCAATTATTTCCTGTCTGAAGAAAAGAGCATTTGAGATAAGCAGGACAATGGATTAAAAGATTTAAAAATATTGACTAGTTACTGTAATTTTGAAAAACAAAAAAACAAACTGAATATTGTACAAATGTACATATATATGCATATGTTTATATGTATTGTGTTGTGTGTGTGTTATACACACAATATGCTGAAATGACCTTGCCTCACCTTCAAATCTTTTTAGGTACTTGTCCAATAATTCCATTGTTTATTTTGATAGTGCTTATTAAGTATCATGTTGATAAAACTTTATGTCATTGGTATTCAATACTATATGGGATGTTAATGCAAGAATAAATACTATGAAAATAATGGAACATGAAAATAGTACAGTTTTTATTGAAATAGCTATTATGTGCCAGGCAATGTAAAACCAATTCACTGACAAGACCTGTCCCTAAGTGCCTATCTTTTTCTCAGGTTTGCAGAACTGTATCTCTATGGGTTTGCTAGATTTCTTTTCACCATGCTATTCTTGTCTTCTCTTCTTGTTTGTAAGGATTCACATCAGTCATTTTGTACCTGGCAGCTCTTGAACCTCTACAATGACAAAAGTGATAAAGGAGTTTAAATGGTTTGAGATGAAATTCATCAGAAACATATCCAGAAATTCCCATGTCTTTCTAGTACCATATCATATCTCATGCCTTTCTAGTGACATTAAAAATTTAACATTTGAGTTTTATAGAAAAGATATAACTATCTCAGCAGACTTTGTCAAAGGCATATAACAAAGAATGATCATACTGTGAATTCAAAGCTACATATTAAAACAAGAACTCATCATCCTGATTGTTTTATCTCTAAGAGATAAGTCATTTTTAGAAGTAAATAGTTGTACAAGAAAAAGATTTGCTTGTACTTTTTAACTCAATTAAATATTTACACATTCTATAGACATATGTATGCACATATTTATATACAGATATAGAGACATGAATACTTATTGTTGCCTTGTAGCAAAAAAGGGAACTAGATTGTACTGGACAATGTTAAATATTACAGAGTTGGATATTGATATAGTCACTGACATATTTTTCTGTTGCATTTGTATCACCACTGATGGTATCATACAATAGATAGAGGACAGGGCCTCCCTTGTGGCACAGGGAGTGAGCATTGCACTCTGAAGCAATCCGCAGCCTCTGCAGCATGAGTTCAATCCCCAGCCAGCCAGGGAGCAACCCACATGGTGCAGCAGAGCTCTCCTGTCTCACCCACTGCTCCCCTCAGCAGTGTATTTCAGTCAGTCTGCTTGTTCTGTTCCCCACTCTGTCTCTGGTGAGTTCCCCACACACACCTCTGGCCTGTACCCCAGTTCTTATATCAATGAATAAATAAATCTTTAAAATAAAAAAAAGAAGTCAAATTCAACCTAAATGCCCCAAAACAGATGAGTGGGTCAAGAAGATGTGGTATATATACACAATGGAATACCACTCAGTGAACAAAAAAGATAAACTCATGCCATTTTTGGCAACATGGATGGAGCTTGAAGGGACAATCTTGAGTGAAATAAAACAAAAGGAAAAAGATAAATACTAGATAGTGCCATTACTATATGGAATATAAAGTAACTAAATTAAGAGACAGATAAAGACAGCTGAAAAACTAACCCTTGGTGATTGACTACAGAACTCAGACATCAAGAAGGGAGAGTCTGGGGAGGGGAACAAACAAACAGAGAAGGAGGCCCAGTGGTCTATGGTGGTGGAATATGGGTGAGCGAGTGGGTGGGGGGTGCACTATGGTGGTAATGCCTGATGAGAGTACACCATTATTATCTCAACTAAAAATAAATCAATTTAAAAATAGTCCAATCCAATGATTTGTAGGTTTCTTTAAGAAACATTTCACCAAAGCACTTGATGGCACTGAGAATAATATTATATGGTAAAATATGGGCACTCTTATCTGTAAAGTATTTCAGATGAATTGCTTTGAAACGTTTTAGGAATACATTGACCAATTTTTTTTCTCTTCTATTTTCCTTTCTCTATATGTCTGACAATAACATATAATAAAATTTATGTATGTCCAATACAGATCATTAAAAATAAGTATAAATTAAATTTCTAGTTCCAAAAACAATACATGTATCAATTACAATGCATGCAAACTTTTTACTTTCTGGTGACCCATAAGTAATGCTACCTCTTACAATGTATTAGAATCTAGGATTAATTATATATATATAATATATATAATTAATTATATATATAATTTTATATATATAAAGAGAGAAATATACAAATATTATGAAAAGAACAATAATAGCTCAAAATTTTCCATAGCAGATAACCTCCTATGTGCATTATTTTACTCAATTTTAACAGTGATCTTTTTTTAAAAGATTTATTTTTATTTATGCGCATACAAGAACTGGGGTGTAGGACAGAGGTACAGAGGGTGAGAGGATTCACCAGAGACAGAGGGGAGCAGAACAGGCAGATCCACTGAAATACACTGCTGAGGGGAGCAGGAGGCAAGACAGGAGAGGTCTACCGACCATGTGGGTTAGCTCCATGGCAGGGGATTGAACTCATGCTACAGTGGCTGTGGGTAGCTTCCAGTGCTGAGACTTAACCCCTTGTGCCACCAGGGAGCCCCCAGGGTGGAAATTCTTTAAGAGTGCTCTCTAGATATTTTACCCAGGAACTGTGTTTACATCCCTCTTTCTTGAACCAGCTATAAAGAAAGCTGGGGAATCTGACCTCTATTATAGATGCCATATGGCCACCGAAGAACCAGGAAATCTATTCCTAGGAGAGAAAAAGACAAAATTGGTATTAAGGGACAATTCTAACTTTGAGACAAGTCTATATCTTACTCACTTTATCTACAAGTCTATATCTTACTCACTTTATCTCACTTTATCTTCCATGGAATGTGTATACCAGGAAGACACTGGCCCATATTTCCTGATTCTATACTGAGTCAGCTTTGTGAAACTAACAGTCCCCACACCATCAAAGGAACTCATGGCCCTGTGCAATTATTGTTCTTCACTTTTTGTTTTTGAACCATGAATCTACCTATTCAAGACATTATTGTCCTAGAAAATCTTTTGACTAATATGCTGCACACATTCACATCCCAACATTTATCCAGTAATAAAGGAATGTTAAAGCTTCAGAGGTGTTCAATGTCAGTTCAAAGCTGCTTGCTCTCCCTGTAACCACCTGGTTTTTCTAGTTTTGTTCAACATGTTTGTTTACAATGTGATCTGTTTTCCCCTGGTCTAATGTCTTCCTTGCATCCTTAAGTTGAATTGGTAAAAAGGTGTTTGTTTTGACATCCTTGCTGTTTAATTTGGTATATAAACAGGCCACTCAAGGTCAAGTCAGTCTGTCAGGTTACTTTCCAATTCTGAAAGAACTTGCTGACTAAATTCGCCCATGGCCTATGTTGCCTCTATTAGCGCAGGTGCATCTGTGATGGAAGACTTTTATTTGTAGTAAGGTTCCAATTGGCTCACAATTAAAAATAGGCAAAACCATTAAAAAAAAGCATGAGGATGAATATTTATCATTCAGGATAATGGCTGACACTAGGGAAAAGCGAGATGATATTGGGAAGAGTACAGAGAGAGGCTCTGAGGTTCTGGTGATGTGCTCTTCCACTTTGGACTGCAATAACATGGGTATTGCTTTTATTTTCACTCTCAAGTTGTCCATGCATATTTCATGCGGATCTAAAGACTCTAAAATGTATTGTACATGGAACTTTTACTTGTTACCAAAACTAAGGAAAAAAGACCTCTCTCCATTGTCATGAAGACGCATAATTTCAGTCATCCAGCAATTTACTGCTAAACAAATCTTTGTTGCCTAAATTCTGCTCTTTTCCATCGAGAGCAAGAACAGTTTCTGAACTACATTAGAACACCTAAAATATTTTCAAATACTCAATACAAGAGTCTAACAATACTTGAAAACTTCAGTTCTGGATGAATGACTCCTATACTGTTTCAAAACTTATGAGGTCTCTGAGCTTTTCAGTCAGAAATGAACACTTGTTTCTCTTTAGGACTTTCATGAATTGTCGTATAATTGATTTTACCAAGGACTGTTTTGTCAATCACAGAAGGTTATGCACACAAGCGTTATCATACCTTCTTATTTTCCTGTTGCAAACAATTATGGCTTTAATTTAGGTGAGCATTATCATTTTGCTGATTAAGAATTCATGGCTTGAGGTGGTCAACTTTAGGTAATTTTCTTTCTTTTTTTAAAAGATTTATTTGTTTATTTATACAAGCACTGGGTAGAGTCAGAAGCTCAGGAGGGTGAGAGAATTCACCAGAGCCAGAGCAGGGAACAGAACAGGCAGACTGACGAAATACACTGCTGAGGGGAGCAGTGGGCGGGGCAGGAGAGGCCTGCATGCCATGTGGGACACTTGCTGGCAGCCAGGGATCGAACTGGCTCTGCGGAGGCTGTGGGCAGATTCGCAGCCCAGTGCTCAACGGCTGCGCCACCAGGGGAGGCCCAACTTTAGGTAATTTTCTTTGGAATTCTCATAGGAATCTCATCTTCCCTCAAGGAAATATAATCCAGCTTCTTAGTTTTATTTTCCGATTGTAAAAGAACAATTAATTATCTATAGATTTCTTACAGCAACATGTTCTTTAGTAACATAGGCTTGAGTATTATTGTCCAGGGCTGTCGCTGGGATAGTAGTTGCTCAACTGATTAGTTGCTCAACTTTGCAGTGGTTCCTGTTACATTCTCTTGTAAGCAAATAGGGAATCTGTCTAAATTAAATCTGATCTACCTTATTGTGTGAATCTTAAAATGCTCATTTTTATTTTCACATTTTAAAATCTGTAAAATCAAGAGGCATTTTGCAATCTATGCTGTCTGATATGCTATCAACTAGGAAGAGGTTGTAGTTGAGTTATGTGAAAATCTTCTTGAGAGAGAAGTACAGGCAAGCACCAAAGCATTTTTGATTGCATAAAATATGGTGCTTAAAAATGTTCTTAGATATTTTATCAAATGAATATTTGTACGTGGTTTAAAAAGCATTGTTCTTGAAAAGCATTATGGAAAGCATTATTTTTGGCTTTATAGCTACATCTTGAAAAAGCACACTTACCTTCCTTTTTTTTATTTATGAATTTATTAGATTATATACTCCCTTCTATAAATAAGAATTTTGTTGTTTATACTCTCATCCTCTTTCCAATCTAGTGCTCCAGCTTTCCTCCCACCCCCAACAACTAGATTTTGTCATTTAGACTCCAACTTTTACACTGTCAAGGTTGACTGCATTTACATTCTATTCCATAACCATAATTAAGGCATCAAATCCTTAACTCTAGATTAATTTTCTCCCCACTGAAAAAAACCCCATAAATGTGTTTACATGCTGATGATGGTATAAATATTATTCACTGTAGATCCTGAGAATACTATCATTATATTTTATTTTCCTTTTCCTCAAGTAAGACTTTCATGTCATTCAAAGAATATTAATATCCATTCTTATTTCTTCTAACTCAGCAATATACAAATCATGCCAAATTATAGTTTTCCTTTCCTGAACAGTTATCTTCTTTGAGTTTCTAATTACCCTCCTTTCTTCTTCCTGGAAGAAAGTTACCTCCTTCCCTCATGCCTGAGAGCCTCCTACTTCTTACCTATTCAGACTTTGTTTGAACTCCATTCTATTCTTTTTTTTTTAAGATTTATTTATTTATGCATATAAGAGCTGGGGTACAGGCCAGCGATGCAAGGGGTGAGACGATTTACCAGAGACAGAGTGGGGAACAGAACAGGCAGACTGACTGAAATGCACTGCTGAGGGGAGCAGCGGGAGAGACAGGAGAGGTCTGCTGCACCATGTGGGTTGCTCCCTGGCCGGCCGGTGATTGAACTCATGCTGTAGAGGCTGTGGACTGCCTCATGGTGAGGTGCTTAACCCCTTGTGCCACCAGGGAGGAACTCTCCATTCCATTCTTCTCCTTGAAGGTCACTTTCAATTTGGCTTATTTACTCTATACCATGATTTTCTTGTCCAACATTTTAAAAGTTTCATGAAATTTCTGGAAGTCTTTATTATTTGTATTTTCCTAGACACCTTTATTTTAGCTTCAAGGTTTTTAATAAACTATCATTAATTTTTTTCTAAAAATCTCCCCTCCTATCTGTTCTACCATTTTTTTCTGGATACTTCTCTTTGAAATTCTCTGTCCCCTTCTTCCTGAATTGGATGTTTACTACTTTTTTTTTTAAAGTTGTGATTTCTATTCACTTAATTTCTGAACTACATATCCTTATTTATTGCCATCTTTGTTTTATTCCAGTGCATCTTCAGGTAAATCCATAAGAGAAGATATGATTTCTTCATGTTTTGAAAAGCTGCATTCACCTTTAATTGATGGCAAGGGTGAGTATAGAACTCAAATGATTTTTTTTCATGGGTCTTTGAATGTATTGCTTCTTTGCCTTCTAGCAAACACTAATCACTACTGAAAATCACTAATCACTACTGGTCACCCCTTTTCTTTCTGTGTATTTAAGGAATTTGATTTATTCTTCGAGTTTAGAAATTTTACAATCAGGATTTTAAGTGTGTTGATTTTCATTTCACTTGTTTTTCTTTAGCTGTAGGTCATATTGTCCTATTACTGTCATTATATATAAATATCATTTTCTGCATTCTCTCTTTTATCCAAGTGTCAATTACTGAACCCATTTTATTACATTATCTTTAATACTTTTATGTGTATTTCCAATTTTGAGAGGTTTCTGAGTTGTTTACTGAGCAATTTCTGTAAATATTATTTTTTTTTGTCATTATACCTTGAGATCTTTCTTGTTTTCTGATTGTTCTTTTCCTGGAAATTTATGGCTGCATTGACTACACAATCTTTTAAATAATACTATTTTAAATTTGTTTCCTCTCAAATTATTTTGATATATTTTCCTCCCTTTTCATTTATTATATCTCATTCCTTTTCTTTCCTCACTTTGTGCTCTCCATACTCAAAATTTAATCAAGTACAGTTTCTTTTTTTAAATTGGTACTTACGGTGAGTCAATAACCCTGCGATTTATTTTTTAGATCCTTGTTGACTGGCAGATTTGTTTGAGGCATTAGGTTGCTTGGATACACCCCAAATATCTTGGTTACTGTAACCCATATTACCTGTCCCAATTCACCATATAGTTTTTCAGTTTGTTTGGAGAAGAATCTTACTGTTTACCTCCCTTTGTTTTTTTAAACTACAGTGTAAACAGCAAACAGTGGCTTGGTTTTTCCTGGTGGCAGAGGGAAAGGTAAAACTGTGCATTCATCCTCCTGTTTGCCACACCTTCTGCACTTCCCATTTTCCAAGTATATGGATTTCCAGTTCCAAATCTGCATAAGGTGTGACTGTCAAGATCTGCACATGCCTTGCCTGCTATCTTCTGTGCTGCTCTGGAAAGTAGCTCTTCTACTTTGCTTTTCGATCAATATTTATCTACATTTTATATTCTAGGGAAAAAATTGAACTCTTGCCTCAAATGGCCTTCTTCATTTTCCCCATTATTCTGAGTTTATGACTTCCCACTCCTTTCGTATCACTGCAATTAAGTCCTGAGAGGGAAGGAAGGAAGGCCATACCACTTTGGATTAGAATATCAATCTTATAATTAAAAATATCTGAATTGATTAGATAAAACATATAACATGTTGTTAAGTGACTTCATTTTCTTTATTACATGTAACATCAATAAGAGGTAGAAATAAAACAAAAGACAACCAAGATAGTGATATGCAAGTGGCATACTCTCTGTAAAGAGGAGGTAGTGGCAAATCCAGGTTCAGTCAATTCAGTGACGTGAGACCTGGAAATATATTTAACCTCATAATTTATGTCTCAGTGAAATAAGGAACAGAATTTACCATTAGGGTTCTCTTGAAGTTCAAATGAAATTATGAATGTAAAGAAGTTAGTAAGGAGTTTTGTGTATGGTATACATGCAATAAATGGTGGCTTTGCTAATACTATTTGTAAAGGGGAAAAAAAATTCCACTGTCTTTTCTGGTTTCTCACTTTTACCTCCACATTCTTGCTTTAAGAGATTATCAATATACAAAACAACCTTTTTTTCAGAGTTTTTTCTCTCATTAAATATTTATTGAGTGATAAAAGGAAAAGAAAGGGAGAAGTGTTTGTCATGAAGGAGCTGTTTAGTAGTGGGAGGATGAACCAATAAACCCAGATGTCCAGTCCAGTGTGAGAAACACTGTGGAGGGTGTATCAGCAGAGCGCTGTGGAGGACAGAGGTGATGGTGACTTTCCCTAAAGAGAACCCACAGCATAGCAGTTAGCTTACTAAGTAAGCAGTCACCAATCTGGATGAGAGGAAATGGGGGAAACTATATGTAAAAGCACCAAATATTAAAAATTCATTAAAAACTCATTTAGAATATTAAATGAATACAAATAAAATGGATAGAAGAGAGTAGATGTATTAAAAAAATGACCTGTGTCCATTAGTATACTTTAAGTGAAGGCTGAAGGAATCAAAGGGAAAAATTTATCTTGCTACATAGAGAGACACTGGTATGTTCATTGTTAAAGGGGCTGGAGAGCTTGATAGATGCTAGATTCTGAGGTAGCAACTGCTCAGAGAAAGGAAAAGCGAGATTGTTTTAATGTGTGAGGATTTTAGTTTTGAAGATTCAGAGGAATATGTCTTCTGGAAGGTTGTTTAGCACAGGTGCTGACATGAATGCTTCTAAAGGTGAAGAAGAGGACAATTGGGTAAGATTGCTCTTAATGAAACTGGGAAAACTGCCATTTAGCATTAAGTCAAGGGCAGTTCTAAAGATTGCTGAGGATTAAGGGCCCATTTTAGCTTGGATTATAGCTGTAAACATAATCAAGAAACCAGTTCTATTTGTAATTAATTGTATTAAAGCATAAGTAGTAGTTAAGGAACTTAACTGTATTGATAATGCTCATCTATATATCATTATAACATCATACTGGCTGAACAATTATTTAATATTCCCTTGTCTTTGGATTTGCAGAATGCCATAGAAGTTTAACTCGTGTAAATAGTGTGGCCCTAGTGTCATGGATGTGAACATTTCTCTAAATTTGAATCATTTTAATTTAAAAAAAAAAATTATTTATTTATGTGTACGAGAGCTGGGGTACAGGCCAGAGGTGTGGGGTGTAGGGTGAGAGGATTCACCAGAGACAGAGTGGGGGAACAGAACAGGCAGACTGACTGAAGTACACTGCTGAGGGGAGCAGTGGGAGAGATAGGAGAGGTCTGTTGTGCCATGTGGGTCACCTCTTTGGCTGGGGATCGAACTTGTGCTGCAATGACTGTGGATTGCTTTATAGTGCTAATGCTTAACCCCTTGCGCCACCAGGGAGGCCCCCAAATCATTTTTAAAGATACATTTCTAACAGTAATATTACTGAATCAAATGAGTTAATATCATTCTGTTTGAGAAAGTGAATTTTTTATATTGTCACATGCTATCTATTGTTATACCATTTTCACTAACATCTCAGTCACATTGGGCAATACAATGGTTTGATTTTCTAATGGCACATTGTCCTTGTTTGCATTTATTTGAATTTTTTATATGCACATTTGTTAATTTTATTAGTTTCGTGCAGCTTTCTATTTTATCCAGTCCTATTAGTATATTCTGAGTTATCTAGGAAAAAATTATTTTTACTTTGATTCTCTTTGAATTATTCACAGTACATTCAGTAGCAATATTACTGAGTTGAGCAACATGTCATTTAGTGAGAATCTATAAAACTTAGCAATAATAGAGCAGAGCTCAGCAAACTTTTCCTTAAAGGGTCAGATAGTAAATATCTTAGACTTTGTAGGCCATATGGGATCTCTGCAGAACTCTTAGCAACTACCCAGTTCTGCTGTCAAGCTGGAAGTCAGCCATAGAAAAATATAAACAAGTAGACAAGGCTATTTTTCAGTACATTTTGATTTACAAAATCAGTTTTTTTTTTAAATACCTGATTTCAAGGTATACTATAAAACTATGGTAATTTAACAGTAAGTTTTAGAACAAGGATATGCACATAGATCAACACAACAAAATAGAGAATCTAGATTAAAAATTAACACATGGTAGTTAATTTTTGACCAAATGACAAAGCAATTTAATGAGAATATAAAGGTCATCAAAAAATGCTGTAACATTTCTACAACATATGAGAAAAAATGAGCCTCAAGACTCTTACTATACTCTTCACTCTTACTATATGGAGTAATTAATTTGAAATGCATATTAGAGCTGAACATAAAAGTTTAACTAAAAATGTAAATAAGCTACTTCTAGAAAAAAAGTTGGGAAAAACATAGCCACTCTATGTAGGCAAAGATTTTTACAATAGTTTACAAAAAATATCAGTGAAAGATTATTAAGTAAATGAGAAGACAAGCTAGAGGCTGAAAGAAAATATTCATTATCTAACAGAGGATTTACATTCAGAATATATAAAGAACTCAGAGGGTTCAATTATAAGTGTGCAGAAATCCTATAAACATGGTAAAATAATGTCCATTAGCAAGTAAATGGATGAATAATTGTGTATCCATATAAAGTCTCATTTAAAAGAATGAACTTTGGATACACTAAACTACTGAAACACCTAAGACAAATGAATATATAAAACCCTTGTAAAACTTTATTTCTCGATTAAAGAAGCCATTGACAAAAGAACATAGATTTTCATGCATATGAAATTCTAGAATAGACAAATTCAATATAATAATGATGGAAAGCAGATTACTGGATGCATAGTTTCAAGGCTGAACTTGTGATTCAACAAAAAAAGAATTACAAGGGTATGTTATGGAAATTTTATAACTTCCTGGAGGTAGTAGTTTTATGATAACTTACTTTATGGCAAACCTCATCAAATTATGCACTTACACTTGGTACAGTTCATTGTGTAAAAATTTTATTTCAATAAAGTTAACCTAAAAATGTGATTGTTTTTAGTAATGACACTTTGGCCTTTAACTTTAATGTCTATATTTTTCAGGAGCTACTGTTTACCCTGCAATTTCTGTCCTATAAAATAGTCGTAGTCACTATCTCTATAGACAAATTTTTTGTTCCATATTTCATATATTCTAGCAGAGTTTTTGCTAATTGATTTTTTACAGTTATTTGCAACTAATAGTTGCTTAAAAGGGAGGGTAATATATTAAAATTATTGCTACATTAGATCTTAAGAATATTTGTTGCTGAGTATTTTAAGTTAAAGGTAATTTGTTTTTTCATTTTTATGATTTTGAATGTAAATATAGTAATGATTATTACTACTATTTTCATGTATTACTATACTATTACTAAATATTTACTACTAAATATTTTACTACTAAAATATTTTAATAACTAAATATCCAAATAATTTTTAACTAATACAGAGGAATTATAACCCAAAATAATAATATATAAATTTATTATAATTAATACAATTTGCTATTGGTACTTTTGGAGGAATGATGGACATATATTTTGATGGAATAGACTATGAACACCATAAACAGACCTGCACAAATATAGTCAACTGACTTTTGTGATGCAAAGATAATTGAGTGAAGAAAGGATAATTTTTTCAACAAATGATGCTAGAAAAACTGTACATTCATATGTGAATGAAATAAAATAAAGCTGAAACTAAAGCGCTCACATTTTATAAAAATTAGTTCAGGATGGTTCATATATTTAAATGTTAAATGTAAAGCAAAACTTAGAAGGAAATGTGTGAGAAAATTGTGATGACCTTGGGTTGGTCAATGAGTTCTCTATGACAATGAAAGCATGATGTGTACAAGAAAAATAATTAACTTCATAAAAATCTGTACTTCGTGAAAAATTCTCAGAATTGCTTTGTAGAAGATACTCTTAAGAAAATGAAAAGAAGCAGTCCAGTAAGTTGGTGACAGAGTCAAGATTCTGGGCTTCCTCATACACGTACAACCAAATTCCAACAAAAGAAAGACAACAAACTTTGAAAGATAAATGAACAGCTGTCTCATGCATAAGGAGCAATAGCAATAGCAAAAGGACAAACTGACTGAATTGTGTAGAACAAGTGGGAAGTACCATCCATAACTGGAAGGGAGGCTGCCATGGGGAGCTCTCTACTGTTGCTGACTCTGGGAACATGCCCACATTTGGAACATTAAATTCTAGGCACTACACAGAGCAGTGGTCACTACACAGAGCAGCCAGGAATCAGGCTGCAGGACAGAGGTTGCACCACTGGACAACTCTAGTAGTAAGGGTACAGAACAAGATTGCTGTTTTGGTTACTATTTACTACTCTGTAGTCTGAGACTCCTAATCTAGATCACTTAGAGCCCAAACCTGCAAGGAGAGTCAGGTTTGATTAATTGTACCTCCTGGAAGGTGTTACTATTTGCAGCTTGAGGTTGTGATATTCAAATACTTGCTTTATTCCTACCCAGGGCCAAAACTGAGACTATAACCGAAAGCTCTCACTAACCGGAGTTTAAACACCTATATCTTAATAATAGGAGCAAGCACCCCAGGGCAATAATAATAACTAACTACTGCTAATTATTGAATGTATTTTATAAACAAATTAGTTGTTATCAAGCAAGTTAGGCATTATTATTTCCTCTATTTTACAGATGAGTAACTGAGTTAACTGAAACTTAGAGAGGTTAATTAAATTGCTCACAACTAAGTAGTTGGCAAAATCTGATACAAATATTTTTTTTCTAATTAAAATTCTTTGTTCTTTACCTCTCAGCATTGTCTTAGTTCATGATATGGGTGATGGGAATTAAATACCTTCTTTTATGAAAGCATCCTTTCTAAACTGATAAGGATCTCCTGATGAGACAAGTGAGTAAGTCCACATTATGTAATAAAATAAATCTAAGCTTCAACAATTTCTAGTAGAGTTGTACCAAGCATTATCTTGAATGTGTTTGCAGTTGGAGCAAACACGTAAAGAGCACCAGATGCAATAACTGATCGCATCACTATTTGCCAATATTTACACCATCTTTTAGTATCACTCAACTTCTCCTCTATGATCTCATTCTCTTTCTTTCCCTTGCTGTCCCTTTGTCATTATTGCATATTACTGGTCTGCCAAGACCCTCAGGTACAGAGTACTGTTGATCTCTGTGTTAGTTAGTTTCCTAGGAGTCAAGATCTTCATCTCATTCTCCTCACAATTTTCAGGAATCCTCTAACCTGACAGGCAAATGGTCTGGCAAAAAAGTCCGATCCTGACATTTACAGTGTTAGGTGACATGAGTGTACATAAAAAAAGTAAAATAATTCCGTTCCCAACTGGCTGCAGACACCCATATGCATGGCAGCAATGTGTTGTCATGTGGGCACTGGTAAAATATGTAACCCTTCACATAGCACTGAAGAATGGTGGTTTTCATAAATGGTAATGGGAAATTCAAAATTCTGCGAGGATGGCTTATTTCAGATGTTTTTGGAGGTAAGATATGCCCTTGATGAAAATATTTTTAAAAGTCACTTTGGTAATCATTTTGGTTATTTTCCCTCCACAAATAACCAGAAACTATGTAACTTTGCCTCCATCCTGTTTCTCCATTATGTTCACTCCTGATGTGCATGGGGATTAATTTATTTTGTCTTAAACAATTTTCTCTAGTTATTTGGACATAAGGCAATTGAATCTCTCATCTTTACCATTAAAATTTGACGGCATTACTCCTTTTCTATAGATCTTCACCCTCAAACTGTCTTAAAAATTTACTTATTTGAATTAAATATATACCCTTCTTTCATTTGGTAAATATTTAATAAGCAACTGCTCTTTGCAAGATACTCTTTTAGCAAAATCAAGGTGACAGTGGCAACTATGCATGTTTATGCATTATTTAGTTCAGATTTCTTTACTTACAACACTCTCCCACATGTTATTGAATATTTTCCAGATGCACCTTTATTCAAAGTACATTTATTAAACATACCTTTTTTTTTACCAAGAAAATGTCAGAACCTAATGGATTCACAGCCTTCTAAGTTTAGTTGTGTGTTGTATTATTTTGCTTTTAAGTGCTTCTCTGAAGAGTTATGTATTCTGGATATTGCCACTTAAAAGTTATCCATTTAGGAAATATCTCTTCTTCATGGACATTCAGTGTGGCTTTTTAGGGAAACCTTTTTTATGATTTCCTAAGAATCTTATAACTACTGACTATGATTTTTATATGCATACACTTTGAGGACACTATGGAAATCTGTTGATTTCTTTAAGAAAGCAAAACAAAGAACATCCAAGATCATGATAGAGGGAAAGTTTCCATATGGGAATAGGGACTGAATCTCATTATCTTGTCTTTCTAAGAATTTCTTCTTGAAAATCCCTCATTCATCTGTTATAAGGGTTGTAAGAAAATTCACTGATTCTCTTATCACATAAGACATCGCAGATGGATGATCCAAGGTTAGCAATGGAGAAAGAAAACAAATGTTAGAATTTTTCCTCCGTGATAAATATTTGAAAATCAGTACAGTACCTTATTAATTAGTCAGTGAATTTCCTCACGTAGTTTCTCTTAAATTGCACACCAAATTTGAAGATTCAGACAGCAGTAGACTGATCCAAAGTGTGAAGCTAGAATAGGAATCAAATTTTTCAAAAGGCCCTGCCCTTTGGCATTGATAAGATTCTTCATTTTAGCTATTCTAGTAGATGTGTGGTAGTATCTCTTTGAGGTTTTAATTTGCAATTCCCTCATGTCTAATCAAGTTGAGCATTTATGCATATGGTTATGGGCTATTTCTGTGTGTTCTTTTGTGAAGTGTCTGTTTCAATCTTTTACCAATTGTTAATTGGGTCTTTTGTGTGTTTTATTACTGGATTGTAAATTTTATTTTTGATAAAAGTCTTTTAATATATGCATTGAGAATATATTTTCCAAATCTTTGGCTTACCTTTTCATTTTCTTAATGGTATCATTGCAAAAGTCATAAGTTTTAATTTGTTGAAGGCCAATTTGTGAGCCATAATATCCTGCAGATTTTCTTCTGGAAGTTTCAGCTTTGACATTTAGGATTCTGATCCCACTTCAGAATTTTGAAGATAGAGAAAATCCTCCTTCTAACAAAAGGCTGTCTTTCAGTCTTACTTTTCAATAATGCCATATGTTAATTTTTCTTTTTTCCTCTTTTTACAGTTATTTTTAAACAATTTAGATGAGACCTTTTAGGACATGCAAGTCATTTGCCACATTAAAAGGGAAAGTTAATGATTTTCAATATTTTATTTCTAAAGTGAATCAAAAATTCCTGTTTTTCAAATGGTGGTAATTTTCTACTTTTAAAGAAGTGCTATATTTCACTGCAATATCAAAATTATCAGTATATTCTTGCATAAAATTCTTATGTTTCACTCTATTAAATGTATATTAATATATCACTTCCCAATATTATAAATTTTTATGTTTCAGGTACTTTTTATATTTGAATACTGTTTCTCTTTTCTATATATAATACTAGCTACTCATTTATTCAGTTGTTTTTCATTTATAATCTAAACTGAAAAATAGAATTTTTCTGCAGATTATTTTCATTAGAATAAGCTAACAATAAATCATGTGTTTTTTGGCATATTTCTGATGTGTCAAATACATGTAGAAGCATGTCTTTTATTTCAATTTAAGTGTGACTCATGTTGAGAAAGACTACAATTTACTTTCAAGGAAATAGATTAACCATTCTTTTAATTCAGGTGTTGGTATTCAAATACATCTCACCAAATATATAGGGTTAAATTTGCATAATTAAACATGATGTAGGGTAAACAGAGGTTAAGAATCAATAAGTGGCTCAATTTGAGATCTCATCACTGAGTGATTTGTGATACACTTATCTTTCTTCAATCTACATAATACTCTATTAACAGGTAATGGGATTTTATAGATTCTTGAGGAAATGATGAGCATCCTGGGAGGTTTGAATGTTTTTATTTTCAGTACATTGTTTAGAAATTAGCTTAGTCTGAACAAAATGATTTCTTGAAAGCAGAACATGGCTTGCATATAAGAGAACAATTGGTTATTTTGAATTCTATGGACTAGACCCTTCTAGTGAAAATAATACATATGTTTTGATGAGTATAAATAAGGCAAAAATAGCATGCCTAAATAAAGAGTTCTAGCAACCCAATTTTTAGTCCATAATTTTAATCTCATTAAAAATTTCTCTGAATAGATTTCCATAATGATTATTTTGGACACATATTTCCCAGTTCCCCATGTATCTGTTTCTAAGAACCAAATTGAAAATATGATATGCAGAAAAATGCATTTTAAATTGTTGAAACAAAAATATTTTATTTTTGTGTTTTTGTGTCTAATGTATTTATTTTAAGTGGAAGGTGGCAAAAGAGATAAAATTTTTGAATCACCCTGATTTCTCTACTCTTCCTCAAAAGACATAGCATTTCAGTTCATAAAACAGTAAAAACAAAATCAATAGTAATCGAAAAACTAAATTGCATGGGTAACAATCAAAACAAAGTTAAGTGACAAAATAAACTCAGAAATAATAGTGTTCAGGGCCAAGCCACTAAGAGCAATAAAATCTAATTGTATGACCAAATGCACAGGAGGAAGTGTTAAGAGCAAACAGAACTTTTATGACCAAGAGGCAAACAGTCTAACAATCAAGTCACAAGTTATCTTTCCCTAGACTGAGGGGTTCTTTCTTTGTGTGGAAGGCATGGGAAATCTGTTCAAGAATTGCAAAGTCTGTGTATGTCAGGACAATGAGACTTGGGCAAAGTGGGGAAAAAGCAGGTAGTATAGTTTCAATTGATTTTTTGAAACTAATAATTTAAGTTTACTTCCAGGACAAAGACACATACTGAGGAGAAACTGCTGGGAGAAGCTAAATTGAAATAGAGATATTTTATGAGGAGAAGAAAAAGAAGAGCCAGATAAAAGAGAATATATGGAAGAAAGATGAGAAAAATCCCAGAAGGTAAAAGACTCTCTTGTTTCATACTTAACTATAATAGGAGACAAATAATCCTAAGAGCTATAAAGACAGTAAAATGATCCTAAATCTCCCTTTCCTGTAAGAGTATGAAACATATCATCTCAAATAAAACAACATAAAGATTATGGTTGAGTGTTATAAAATTTCATTATTAAAAACAGTGATAATAATGAAAAAAGATACCAAGAGACAGCTGAACAAAATAGGGAGCTAATGATATTATAATAAGGATGTTACAATAAAGGTGGCCATTAGGAAAAAAGCATGTTTCTGTAAAATATATTTTTCAATATTTAAATAATCTACAAAGATCTTCCAAAATAAAGAGCTAAAATAAAATTATATATGGAGAAAAAAAGACTATATATGTATTTCATAAGATATTACAAAACTGAGATGAAACGTATCAATCATATCTGTAAATAAAAATAAGCGTAACTCCCCTATATAAAACTAACCTAGACTTTCAGTTAACTAACAAAGCGAATCCAACATAATTATGTATGTGAAATACATACTAAAACAAGGAGGTTTGGAAGATTATACTAAAATTAGGAAGTTTGGAAAGATGAAAAGTAAAAAAGAAGGAGAAGTTATGCCAAGATAAATTCAGTATAAAGAAAACGGGTCAAAATCTTTAGGTCTAACACAATAACATTCAGACCAAGATATAACAGGAGAACTTTGAATTGCTGTAAGCACAGTAAAGGTGTAAGTTATTAGTAGTTATGCATCCTGTAATAAAGCAATGACTTTCTTAAAATATATATAGAGATAATAAAAAAGGAATACAAAAGACTTTTATTTTTTTATCATTATTATTTTTTAAAGATTTATTCATTCATTCATTCATTCAAGCATTGGGTATAGTCAGAAGTGTGGGAGGGTGAGAGAATTCACCAGAGCCAGAGCAGGGAGCAGAACAGGCAGAAGGACCGAAGTACACTGCTGAGGGGAGCAGCGGGTGGCAGGAGAGGTCTGTGTGCCATGTGGGACCCTCACCCGGTGGCCTGGGATTGAACCAGCACTGCAGAGGCTGCGGGCAGCTTCGCAACCCAGCGCTCAACCGCTGCGCCATAGGGGAGGCCCACAAATGACTTTTAAATATGTAAAGATGCTCAATCTCAAATGCAAGCTAAAATTAAACTAAGACCATTGTTTGGGCAATAACTCAAAGATTTGATAATATTCTCTGTTGGTACAGTACTAAATATTTGTAAACATTGCTTAATTGCATTCAATTTGTTAAAATCCAGCTCTTAAGAAAATTTGACAAAATATTTTTGAAATCATGCATACATTTATCTTTTGACCCAGTAAGTCCATTTCTAGGAATTCATACCACTTATTTCAGTGTGAAAAGACCTATACAAAAGATCCTTTTTTGTAAGTGTATTTGTATTAGCAAAGAAACAGAAAACTGCTTTGTGTTCACTAATATGTACTACTGGAACAAAGTTGGTACCCTGATGAATAGAAAAATATTTAGGATATCTGTAGGTAGTGCTATGGTAAGATTTCCAGACTAAATTAAGGGAAAATAACATAATATAGAAAACTACAAATAGTCTGCTATCATATATTTCATAATTCTGTCTATTTTACATTCATGGATGTGTTTATATAAGAATTTATATATTAAAATGGAAGAATAAATTATAAAGGAAAGTAGAGATTATGGTGGAGAAAAGAAAACAGAAGCTGATTTTTCTGATGGTAACTTTCTTTGTGAATTTTATTTTTGAAAATCATACCTATTTCACATAATTATAAATCAAAATTTTATGATAATTCCTATGACTCTGAGTGGCAGGTGTGATGTGGTTACATATACCTTAAGAGATGGGAGCCTATATTCTGAATCATATACAGTGTTGTCAATATTACCTTTAAAAATATTAAAAATGGGCCTCCCCGGTGGCTCAGCGGTTGAGCTCTGGGTTGCGAAGCTGCCCAGAGCCTCTGCAGCGCCGGTTTGATCCCCGGCTGCTCCCCGGCCACCCTTTGCTCCCCTCAGCAGTGTACCTCAGTCCTTCTGCCTGCTCTGCTCCCCGCTCTGGCTCTGGTGAATTCTCTCACCCTCCCGCACTTCTGACTGTATAAATAATAAATAAATAAATAAATAAATAAATAAAATCTTTATAAAAAATAAATAAAAATATTATTTAAAATGTCTAAGAATTAAATGGAACATATAAAAATAAATATAATTGTATATTAAGTAATTATTTTTAGTAACCCCATTGTAGGTGATAGAAATTTGAGGGTAAAATGAAAACAAAACAAAATCTTAAAATGTTTTTATCAATGATTGCATTGGTGTAATGTTGGTTTTATGGTTCTGAGACGTTATGTTTGTAGCATGTGATGAAGAAAAAAATGGAGTCAGGTCAGTACTATTGAGACCTGAGATTTTCAGAATAGGCAAAAAGGAGTAACATAAATAAAATTAGGGACTTAAAGTTAAAATTCAAAAAATTCTGAATTCAATTTGAAAATCCCAGTGTGAGCTAAAAGCGTAGTTCGTCAGAATCTATTTCCTCATCTTTTTCACTGAAAAGATCTAGAAACAATAACCAACAATGATGTTTATATTAAGGTCTTCAAATATTATGTTTCTAAAACAAACTGGGACTATTTAAAGAAATAGCTGATTCCAGATCTAGAAATACCTAAAATCACCTGGAGAATTTTGTCATTACCAGGAAAAAGGAAGCTATCCAAGAATTCTGCATCTGAATCAAAGAACCTATGAGCCAACTTATTTAGTATATGCTGGCCAATATGGGCCAAATTTTTTTAAAAGATTTATTTATTTATGCATATAAGAACTGGGGTACAGGCCAGAAGTGCAAGGGAGGGAGTGAGAGGATTCACCAGAGACAGAGTGGGAAGCAGAATAGGCAGATCTACTGAAATACAGTGGGGTGAGACAGGAGAGGTCTGCTGTGCCATGTGGGTCACCTCCCTGGCTGGGGATCGAACTTGTGCTGCAGAGGCTATGGATTGCCTCATAGTGCTGACGCTTAACCCCTTGCACCACCAGGGAGGCCCCAATATGGGCCAATTTGAATAAGAATATAACAAGAGTAGAAATTTTAAAAATATATTTTAATGCATGAATTCATAATAATACATTAACACATTTTAACTCATTAATCTATTTGAAGAATGTTGGGGAACACTTCATAATTTTCAGAAGACTGATAAATACAGAAAAAGAATGTAACATTTGTCTGGCTTCCCTTTACTGTACAAACTGTAGTTCAGGATAACTAAGAAAAAAGCTGATATGGGAAAATTTATCTTTACAGAAGCAATTCAGATAATTGGGCGCTTTGAATGAACATGTTTTATAGCACCATAGAGTGCAATTTGCAAAAACCCAGCCTGTTTCAATTCTATAGGAAATGATCCAGTTTCGCCAAAGAGCAAATTGCAAAAAAAAAAAGAAAAAAAAAAAAAAAGGAACAAATAGTTGGAATTTGTCACGGTGGCAGAAGGATGGTTTCTGAATTTTCTGATTCTGCTCTATGTATTGCCAAAGGGTACACATGAATTTTCTTGCCATACTAGACTGGGAGTAAACATTGAAGGCTTTGATCCAAATTTTAGAACATACTGGGAGGTGGCACTTCCTTGGCTGTACCCTGATGTAATGAGAATAGTTACATACCCTGGCATCTGTTTCATGGATACCTTGGGAGTTCTTGAAACCAGCTTTCAGATGGACAGTATATGAAGAAGAAGAAAGATGATGCAGAATCTTCCAAAATAAAATATTTTAATTAGAGGTAACAATCATGAAACAAAGATTTAGGATTTCTTCCCTTAATTTTGGTTTGCTTCTTTACTAGAATATTTTAATAGCTGGCAGGATTTAAATACAATAAGATATTTGTCAAGAGTACACTAAAGCAGACATTATAGGTGTATGGCATAGAACCTGTTCTTTGCCTTTTAAATTATGCTTATTTTTTATTTTTATTTTTTTTTTTAAGATTTATTTATTTATACAAGCACTGGGTACAGTCAGAAGGGCGGGAGGGTGAGAGAATTCACCAGAGCCAGAGCCGGGAACAGGACAGGCAGACTGACGAAATACACTGCTGAGGGGAGCAGCGGGCGTGGCAGGAGAGGTCTGCACGCCATGTGGGACCCTCGCTGGCGGCCGGGGATCGAACCAGCGCTGCAGAGTCTGCGGGCAGCTTCGAAGCCCAGTGCTAAACTGCTGCGCCACCAGGGGAGGTCCTATGCTTATTTTTTAAAGCACAACATTTTAATAAAAACTTCAGAACCTGTCTCTATGGATTAGACTATATGCCCAAATTGTTGATGGCAGAAATGGGCTTCTGAGGATGAGAAAGCCAATGCACAGCTCATTTCCTTTGGTTTGACTTCATTCTGCTATTGTTTCACCCACTACTGCAATCTCTTATCTAATCCAGAGGATATTAAGGGCCACATATTGGGAAATGAATAAAAAGAAAAGTTAATTGAGTACTAAAATCATTAAGAATGCAGTCTTCTCAAGTGCACATAAAACATTCTTGAGAACAGACCACATCTTGGGTCACAAAACAAATAAATTCATGAAGATTAGAATCAAATCAAGTATCTTTTCTAATCACAGTGGTAGCAAACTAGAAATCAATTACAAAAAGAATGTGGAAAAAACAATATATGGAGTCTTAACAACATGCTACTTAATAACTATGGATTAATGAGGAAATAAGAAAATTTTTAAAAACCTAAAGAGAAACAAAAATGAAGACACAAACTATCAGAACCTTGGGACCACCATGGGACACAACAAAAAAGCAATGCAACAAGAATAAACAAAACCAAAATTCATTATAAGGAAATAATAAAAAAAAAAATAAAGCAGAAGTAAATGAAATATAAATTTAAAAAATACAAAGGTCAATCAATTTAAAAGCTGGTTCTTTGAAAAGATAAAGTAGACAAAACTTTAAGCAGATTCATTAATTAAAGTAAAGGAGAAAACTTCAATAAGTAGAATCATAAAAGAAGGGGAAGTTGCAACCATAAAAGAAGGCGGAGCATACAACCTCCCAAGACTGACTCAAGAAGAAAGAGAAAACATGAACAGACTAATTAATTACAAGCAAGGAAGTTGAAATAGTAATCAAAAGTCTCCCAAAGCAAAAGCCCTGGACCAGAGGATTTTAGTAGTGAGTTCTACCAAGCCTTTGAAAATGAACTAATACCTATCCTTCTCAAACTTTTACAAAATTTTGAAGGGAAGGAAATGCTTCCAAACCTCTTTTATGGGTCAAATTTGTCTGATACCAAAGCAGAAGGAGACATCATAAACAAAAATATCCACAGACCAATATCCTGGATGGACATAGATATAAAAATCCTCAACAACATCTGAGCACACTGAACTCAACAATACATTAAAAAAATTATATGTCCCTCTCTTACTTCGTCCATCTTTCCCTCCCCCTGTGTCATCAATTCCTTTCTTCTCTTTATAATGTTGTTTCTGAGACTTTGTCATTTCATAGCCTGGCTTGGAGAGCACACCTCTCCCTGCCACCCTGTATCCTGTTTTCACTTTTTATCCTATGTTTAGGCAGAGTTATTTCCTTAAGATTCTACATGTTGATTTCCATTTTTATCATCCCCATTCGGAAGCCTCGTTTTTTTGTGCGACCACTTGACTAGGCCTCCTTGATCCTGACTGAGTAACTTCACCATGGTTTACCAGCTCTTAAAGACCTCCTGCCAGCCTTTGTGAGACCATGGCCCAAAACCCACTGTGTAGCCTATAAAATAGCTTATTGTAAAGATATATAAAGAATCATGGAAATACCGGAATGGAAACTAGTAAGCTGAAACTTGAAGAAGACCATAACTGAAAGGTGGTTCTGGATTCGTGCTGCCTCTAAGGAATCCTGGCAGCAGAATTTGAGTATTGAATGTAGCGTGACTCGACACTGTCATCACAATTACATCATTCTTTTCATTGGCAAGCTCTTCCTCGTTGGCTTCCCCAAAGCTTTAGCTCTCTTGTGCCTTGTACATAGCTTTGACTTGTCCAGACTGAATTTTCCTCACAGCATTTTCCCAGCTTCTGTTTCACCACCAACTGCCAAAACCTCATTGTAGCTCAAAGTGAGAAAATGGGGGCTGCACAAGTGAGCTTTCTGAGCGAGTGTGAACAGCACACAGCCTCCAACGTACCTGGATAATGACGCCCCAGTGCTAGAGCCTTCCCACTGTCTGTTGCTGTCTTTAAGCATCTGGAAAACAGGGTAAAGGATATTCCTTCTCAGCAGAAGCCTGAGGGAAAACCTGTTTCCCTTACAAAGAGAAGTGAACCAGTTACAAACAGCCCATCTGCACCTGCACAGACACCTTTTCTGACAAGCATTGTGCCTTCGGGATGTAAACATGGAAAATTCTTCCATGTTATCTATAAAATATCAATAAACTGGACATGTCAAAATGCTAGTTATTTTCAAAGCTTTGAAGATTCCCATGTCTGGAGACAGGAGGCAAAATATACAGCATGTGGTCTGATTCGAGGACCACAAAAATGCCTTCCACTCCCAAAAACTTTGTTTTTCTTCTATTGAACTACTATTTCCTCACCCCTTGGGTTATGAAATTTATCTCTAAGAGAACAACTGTCAAAATAAGAGTAAAATATTTCTGACAGAGTGAGTTGACTACCCTTTCCTTTTTGCAACCGTATTTTTCAGAGCTTTTCTGAAATGTTTAGTATATATGGCATTGTTTACTAATAGCTTCCTGGTCTGAAAGCTACTGAGGACAGAAATTTCATTTTACTTATCTCTGTGTGCTCAGAATTTTATTATAGTGCCTAACATATAAAATTCACAACTAATGGGTATTGAATTGAGTGAAATGAAAAAAAAATGACTAAAGAATTTGCAATCCCTTACTTATAACAGGAATTCATTTAGTAGATTAGCTACTGAAGTGTGCATGGGAAAGAGACAAGAGTAGGTAAGTTTTCATAGACTTCAGGAAAACAGGTCTGAGCACAGATTCATGGCAGGCATTTCGATAAAGGGTTTTAAAAATTCTTGGTATGGTAGGAGATATTTAGAACTGAAAAGCAGTTAGGGGGAGTTCAAGCAAAAGGAGATGGAAAATACTTCAAAGCTATTTAAAAATTCTGAGGTCTGGCTTTTACTAGGAACTTGCAAGTCCAGAGATTAAAATACTGAAGTATTTCCTCCAATTAAACTTCTTTTTATAGTTCAAAACATATGTACCAACAACCTACTCCAAAGAGAAGAATTAGTATTTATAATTCCAAAATTTCAGGTGATAAACAGAGTTAAAATAGGGCACAGAATGACAGCAATAAAAAGGTAGCATTGTTCCTGTGTGATTTCCTTTAAGCAGTGAGAAATTGACTTTGTTTTCTTTTCATTTATTTTGGCCTTATTTGTTGTTGTCATCATTGTTGTTCCTTGGCAAAAGGGAGAATAAGGAATACTCCATACCCACATATCACTGCAGCTTTTCAATGTCGAGGTTACTGTCATGTTGTATGATTATTGCAACAAAAGTTGTTTACCACATTCAATTTACCTGTCCCATCTTAGATGTCTGAAATGTTGCTACTCTGAATAATCTTTAATTATTTAACAGTGTATGCTTGATTAATATGTCACTAAGATATATTAATGTGCTGGGTGAGGAAAGACTCCTTTTAAATTTGCATGAGCTAAAATATAAAATTAATGAATCTCTTTTTTTGTAAAAAAAATTGTACTCTTACAAGCTTGTTTATTTAAACATGACAATATTGTTTCAGTGCCATGGATTTGTACCTTTTATAATGATTCATTTACTTTCTATAAAAATTTATTTCAGGGAAGAAATGTTTGCATGCCTTTGAAGGTCTCTGGAAAAATTTTTCTTTTGTGAGTGAAAATGGAAAATCTTTAGTCACCAATTATATTTTTGACATTGGAGAGCTCTGAAAGCACATGATACTCTGTTGGAAAGGAATTGATACTGGATGTTAAAAAATACTTTCCCTAGCTAAATCTCCATGTTGTTTTTATTTCAAAAATCAGTGCACATACATTGTAGGGAATTTTTTTAATCACAAAAAAATGAACTTTTCAGCTCATATAGTGCTTAGAGAAATGCTAATTGGGATCAACTATCTAGAAGATATTTATCCTTTATATTTGAAAGGTTCGTACATTTTGACCCAATTGAATGAATGACTTTCCTTTATGTGAAAATCAACCACAGGAATTTGTAAATATTTTTTTTCACGTTCAGAATAATTAAAAGAGATCAATAATTCATGATGATACAAATAGAGCCTCTTTTACTCTATAAACCATTTCAAGTTTGTCCAATATTTCCCACTAATGTTTCTATTCCATCCTAACAATATGCTTTCTATCCCTGTTACCTCATTAAAACATTTTACCAAAGAACTCTTAATTATCTGAACCATTTTCTTTATTGTCCTTAATATTTTTGTGATTTGGGGACTTAAGGCCTTTTTACCCTTCTGGAAATAGCTTCTCCTTAGCCTTCTAGGATAACATAGGGCATTGTCCGCTTATTTACCTGACCCTTGATGCTCCCAAGAAAACACACTTCCTCTGGAAGACTTCCCCCTGGACTTTAGATGCATTATCTCATGTAATTCTTACAATCCTATAGGGAATTTTTGAGCTCAAATGTTTGTTTCCCTAATACAGTAGAACTGCCAGAAATGCTGCATAGACTGTCACCTTAGAAGTTTGCTTTTCTGTGCTTTCTTGGCCTCCTGCCCAACACATGTGCAGCTTAGAAATCAGCAAATTCTGAGGGAATAAGGAGGTCAATGTAGGACTTACTTTATTGTGTTTCTTCCTTCTTAGGGATCTTGCTCCTTCAAGTACTCACTGCCTTGGCTATAAAATCTGATGTATGCAAAGCTACATATTTTATTCAGTTTTAGAGGAGTTCTGAGATGAGGATTTGGTCTCATTCAAGCTGTTCCATCTAGGCTGGAAATGAAAATCCTCAGTAGTGCTGCTCAAATGGCCATCTGATAACTCTATTTTACTGGCCCGTGATGAGATCAGAAGGTTGTGCCAGAATATATGCCAACATTGCTTCCTTTATCTAGAGAATTTTATCTATCCACTACCTCTTCAATGGAGGCTGAACTAAAGAGTTGACTTATATTCCTTGCCTTAGTGAATATACATTATGACACATACTCTTTATTTCATCACAGAGTATATAGAAGAGTCCACTGACCAATTATCTAGGGTTTCACTAGTTATAGGGCCAGAAAAATGACATACAATATAGCCATAAGTAAACTTTAGCACTTGCAAATAATTATTGGTAATTCCTTCTTGTTGAATGCCTATCCTGAGACAAAGATTTATTAGTTCTGCAAAAACTCTGATAACTACCTGTGAATATTCTAAAACTTCTTAAAATTTTTCATATTATTATAGACAAAAAATATGATACTAGAAAATTGCCTCCTGTCACAGACTATTCTGTGTGTGTGTGTTGGGGGGGGGGCAGAATCGTTTTTATTTCTGTTTCTTAGGTTTTTTTTTCCCTAAAGATTTATTTATTTATGCAAGCACCGGGGTACAGGTCAGAGGCACGGGAGGGTGAGAGAATCTACCAGAGGCAGAGCAGGGAGCAGAACAGGCAGAGGGACTGAAATACACTGCTGAGGGGAGCAGTGGGTGAGACAGGAGAGGTCTGCCCCACCATGTGGGAATCTCCCTGACCAGCTGGGAATCGAACTGGCACTGCAGAGGCTGCGGACAGCTTCACAGCGCTGTACTAACCCACTGCACCACCAGGGAGGCCCATTAAATTAGTTTTTAAATTAAAGTAACAGTGTGATATAACATTATATAAATTCCAGGTAGATATCATGAAAAAATCAACATGTGTACATGCTACACTTAGTACACTACTAAAAGTCCAATTCTCTCTGTCTTTCACTCTGAAACTCATCTCCATCCTGATGTGTTGATGCTGCTCAGACTTACCTCTCTTCTCACTGTGCATCTATGTAACAGCTATGGCTCAGTGCCCATATACTTGTGGCACCACCCCTTCCCTCCCACCCTGTCTCTAGCTCTAACCACTGTCCTGAGTTTCCTATCTGTGTTGCCTACTTTTATATCTCCTTCAGGCACTTCCCTCTCTATGTTTGAAGACGGGCTCTGTATTGACTTCTCTAATTTTCCAAACTTATTTTCTTGCAAAAATGGCACCATTGTCTTCCTTGTCAGCAGAGTAACAGCAGAGGTAAGAGGGATATGTTAACTGTCATCCCTGCATTCTTACATCTAATACATTCCCAATTTCACTTGAATCATCTCCTAGGTATTTCTTGATTTTTCTATTGCTCTTTCCCCAGTTATATTAGAGAAATTCAGGCTACATGTTTTTAATTATATTGCTAAAATTGTCTTTAAATCAATATTATTAAATAATTTCTCCCATCAACATTATGAAAAAAGTAATAGTTTAAATATTCAAATATTATTATATCATTTGTCGCTCAAAGTTCTGTAATGCATTCACACTACTAGAGAATGAAGTCAGATTGTCTTCATGTGTCTTCACATGTCATGACCCTTATCTACCACTTAATCAGTTATCTTCATCTTTCCTCATATTCCGATTTTCTAGTCACACTGATTTTAATTCATTAAATGACCAAACGGTAGTGCTTCCAGGTCTTTCATCTTTTTTACCCATTTCTAGGGCTCTTCTAAACAGGCTTTCTATTTATGACCTCTGATTCTAGCTTTCTTTTCAGATCAACAATCCTTTCTTTAGATGTGTCTAGAAGATACTTTTAGTACAAACCACGCACTCCCATGACTGTGATATCCTGAATTTTATTTGTTAATTTACTAAGTCAACACATACAATGGCATTCACATTTAAAAAGAGCATATTTTAATACTCAAAATGTTAGTCATATTGTAATCTTTATGTATTTTTTAAAGATTTATTTATGTATACAAGAACTGGGGTTTAGGGCAGAGTTGTGGGGGAGGTGGGAGGATTCACCAGAGACAGAGTTGGGGAGCAGAACAGGCTGATCTACTGAAATACACTGCTGAGGGGAGCAGGAGGCAATACAGGAGGGGTCTGCTGCACCATGTGGGTTAGCTCCCTGACTGGCCTGGGATCTAACTCGTGATACAGTGGCTGGAGATAGCCTGATACAGCTGTGCCTTTAACTCCTGTGCCACCAGGGAGGCCCATAATCTTTATGTATTCATGGACTATTAAGAGCTGGAGATTTGATAAAAGGAGATTGGGGGTTTGACAAATTTGAATTCTTAACAAATTTGAATTCTTTTCAAATTCATTGCCCAAAATAACTTGGTTCACTGAATTGTTTTATTTTCACTATTTTGTATTTCCTCATGCTAGAAATTGAATGCAATTTATAAAGGGATTACCAATCAAGGAATTCCCCATTATACAGTTAGTACAAAAGCAAAGATAGTAAATCCCAGTTTTATTTTTTAAGCAAAACAGCTTTATTGAGATATTAGAGATATTAGTCAAGATTTCTGTCATAGTATTGGAACCTAACAGTCCCCTTTCCTAATTCTGATCAGGATCTAAAATTTTTAGCCCCCTATATATGATGTTGGTTTGTAACATTGGGGTCACCCTCAGGGTAAACAGGGAAGAAAAAAAGAGAAATAACTATGAGTTTTCCCTTTATATTCTTTGAATTTCAGAAGTACTTTGCAAGCTCTTCTGTTTCTTCTGTTTCTTAGAGGTGGACAGAAGTTTTACGTTATGCTGCTGTAGTAGTGCAGCTCTGAGACTGGAGATAAGACAGTGCTGAAATGGAGCAAAAGAAAAAATTTGAAAATTTCCCCCACACGTCCTAGTTCATAAAATGTCTTTTCCTGATCACCTGGACAGAAAAAGGATATTTCTCTCAGAGTTACTTCTCTGCATATTCTGTAGTTGGGCTTCCCTGGGATCAGAGCTAAGAATTAAAGAGGGAAAATAAATCCTATTTCTGTACAGGCCATTCTCCAAGGGTTGACTTCCCTCCCCTACACACCATGGTTTGCTTTTCAGGGTCCTTGTTGATTTGCTTTTTTCTATTCTATTAATTTTACCTATAATTGAATGGTTGATACAGATTGTAGTAAGGTCACACCCACCTAAAGTCTGATTTCTCTCTTAGAGAGAATATCTAAGTAGATATAAAGTAAGCAAGGGGATATATTCTTTTGAAATCTAGGATAGGAGAGTGAATTGGACATATAGTAATAAGTCACCATATTTTCAACTCCTTACTTACTTTCAAGAAAGAGTAAACATCTTTTCCATTTTGTTTTAAGGACACTGTATAAATATGAAATGTGGAGGAATAGTTTTGAAATAAGTAAATAAAACAAACCAGAAAGGAAATTTATCATAAGCCAAATTTCCTTCACCCATTTAAATAATTTCTTTAAGATTTCTACATACAAAATGGACAACTGGAAAAATAAATAAAAAGAAGTGCCTTTAAAATGGGGTAAGTTTCATATAATTGTTGATCCATGCCAGCAAAGTTAAAAAAAAAAAAAGCTATTTATGGCTACTTTACAAACACCTTCACAAATAGCATTATATCACATCAATGTAAGTGAAATGTTAACTTTTATTACTTTGCCTTAAGGAAGGAAATAATGCATAGTTGAATCAAATAGTTCACTGTAATTTTGCCTGTCTGCCATAAGTAAGCTGAGCTATTTCTGTGGTGATTAGTTTACTAGCACTGACCACACTAATTTTCCCTACCATTCTTTTCCCAGTGGATTCCTCCAATAAAGCATGTCTTGATTTCTTTTTATTTTTAAAGATTTATTTATTCATTTCTATAAGCACTGGGTACAGTCAGAAGCGCGGGAGGGTGACAGAATTCACCAGAGCCAGAGCTGGGAACAGAACAGGCAGACTGACGAAATACACTGCTGAGGGGAGCAGCTGGCGCAGCAGGAGAGGTCTGCGCACCATGTAGGACCCTTGCGGGTGGCCAGGGATCGAACCAGCGCTAAAGAGACTGCAGGCAGCTTCGCAGCCTAGCACTCAAACGCTGAGCCACCGGGGAGGCCCCAAAGCATGTCTTGATTTCTAATTTGACAGTGCTGTCCACTCAGGCACATTTGAAGAAATTCCTTAAACTTTGAGGTCAGTCTGAGGAATAAAATATACTATTAGAAAAAAATCATGAAATGGTATGATTCAAACTATATATGCATATTTTCAGTGATAAATTCCTATTTTCTCCACCACTTAATGAGAAGGAACAATGAAATGTGAATAAAAACTATCAGAAATCTAATCATGAGTAAGATCAGAAAAATAAAATTTTGCTATTTTACAGAGGCAGTTTAATGTTCTTTATATTCATTAAATATACATAAAAATGATAAAATGATGAAGAGGCTTTTCATTGCTTATAGATAGATGAGAACCCACCATAAGGAGATCGCTGTCAAATTGATTATTCTGAATTTTTAATTTCATACACAACTCCATATTTAGAGATATTCACTTGTTCCAAATACTTTAATGAAGCCAAAGATACATTTTACTAATTGAAATTATGTCCTGTTGCTATGTTAAAAGGGACTATGAATTCCTCCCATAATTATAAACTCAAGGACAGAGCCTGCATCTAATTCCCCTAACATAGTGGACAATGAATATTGTGCTTTCCTGTCTTTCTTCAGTCTTATCATACCTTTTAGGGCAGGTTCAAAAATGATACACTTTAAGGTATTTTTGTTTCATTTTTTGTTTGTGCATTCACATTGGGATTTTTTTTTTATTCTCATGTTTTCTCTAACTTCTGTCCAGTGCTTTTTGAATCATTGATGAAATTGACAAGAATTCGATCACCTGCTTTTTTAAATTTTTTTGCATATGACAGAATATATAGTGTAGTGCAGTATACCCAGTAATTATTAAGCAAATACTTGATAAATTTAACTGCACTGAATGCTTCCTTTATAGTAAGCAGATATAAAAAATATAACCCTGTCAGTTGTAGATTAAACCTCCTCTCAGTCTCTCTCCTCTGGTATTTACTTGAAGTGTCTTTGAAGAGTCTCAATGACTCTAAATGGATTTTGAAATCTATTCAAAATCACTATACCTCTGGTAGATT